AAAGTGGAAATCCTTATCGTTCTTCTGACAAGGAGAATTTGCTTATGTTTAAGACCAGCTCTTCTATTCCATCAAGAGGTGCGGTGATTTTGCTTCAGCTGTCAAAAAATTGGCTTCTCAGGATTCTGGTGTATGGAAGTATGATAGAAATGGTTCTGCTGATACCACTATCGGTCAAGTAGAAGTTCTAATGTTTTGGCTAGTGCTTACAATGGAAGTCATGGAGAGGAGTTATGCTGATAGGTTACAGAATCGTGGTTCAGCTCGGACAGCTCCTGTTTGGCTTGAAACTGGAGAAGCCGTTGGTAATATTCCTCAGTCCAATGTTAATTGCATTAAACACTTTTTTAATTCTGGGATAAATGCTTTCTGCATGTATATTTTCTTTAACGTTGTTAAGATGGCAGCAAATATGTATTCTGAGCTCGGGAAGAAGCTCGTGATCATGCACCCTACGATGCATATTTTGATCAGGTTTGTCCTGTGTTGCACTGCCTTGCGTTTGAAATCCTCTTACTTTTGTCTCTCTTTAGTCATTTCAGTATATAGAAACTACAATTGTGAATATCAAGGTGCATTGGTAAAATCCAGGAGGAGATGATGTAAAGTATCTAATTAAGTGATCAATGATGAGACTAATCATGTAATCGTCAGTATGATATCAAATTGTTAGTACTTTGCAGATAATGATTTGTGGGGAACCAGATTTTTTTGGTTTGCTACAATTGGTGTCAAAAAGTTCCAATAAAAGGAAAATCTTGTTTTTCTCTAGTCACTCTGCTCTCTCCCCTTTCTTTCCCCTTCTATTTATTCTTGTATCATTATTTTCAGGGACCCTTTTTTATGTCGATGTCAGTAATTTCTGACTTTCTTAGGATCGTATTATGTGTCATCTGTCTTCTGCTTTCTGGCTGTGAGGTTGCTGTGCAGTTGCCTGGAGTTGATTATAGGAACCGTTTTTACTTCTAGTGATAATGTTCATGCTTCTGCCATGACTAGTCAAATATGCTTATCAGTGGTGTGAAGTAAATATATTAATAGTGGATGCTATTCTCATTGAAACAAATTGAAGGAAGGGCTAATACTTGTTTCAGTTTATATAGTTAAAATGTTTTGACATAGAAACCTGGAATTGTTTATCTGTATCACTTCTTTTTTGAAGGATGCTCAGCTGGACTTTATGAGAAGAAAAGTGATCTGTAAATGCCAAGATATAATTATGAAATGACATTTCCTCAATACACCCTCTTTTAGCATTACTGCTAAGCTTATGATTTTCTTAGGGGACCAACAAGCTGTGGCCTGTCATCACAGTGAAGGTTAAATAACAGTTTTAGGATGAACTGCTGTGGTCTGTGTCATCCTGGTTGCGGTACTTTTTTCTACTGCACCATGTTATGCAAGTAATGGTTTTAAATTTTACAGGCACGTCAAGCCTATCTTATAGGAAATAAGGCTTTAGCGAAGGAATTGAGTGGGAAAGGGCAGCTGCATAATATGCAAATGAAGGCAGCTCATGGAGAGCTCAAGAGTCTATTTACCGCCAAGGTATGAAACTTCTTTGCTGTTTTTACCTAATCTTGATCCTGACAAGCTAACATGTATGACTGGTGATTGGTTTTTCCCTGTTCTCATGATTTCTCTTCTAGTATACCCTTGTCTTTGAAGGGAATCAAAAGATGTTTATTTGTGGATTAACAGCTCTTCCATTCTTCCTTCACTCTTCTTTCAGCATCTCTTCATTTTTTTTAGGGGTTTTAAAACCTTAGTACGATTCTGAAACATTTTTAATGTAATTAATTTCCTACTCGCTGCACCTACTTTACCAAAACATGCTCTCCCCTCTCTTTTCATCTTTGTGGTAACAAGTTGAACTGCTTATGGTCACTTGGAATATTTTCTGCTCCAAATATATTTGTTCTATTCAAAGGGTTGTGAGATGACACTTGTCATTCACTGACTAGCTTCTTCTTGTATTTTGTTTTGAATGATATATAACAATAACATTGCTTCTATGCCAATGCTCGCATAAGCATATGCTCGTGACATTGCTTTTATGCCTTTGCCTACATGGGCCTGCTTGCAACATATCTTTCGCCTTGGTGCCTCTTCTATGCTTGTAAAGGCAAAAGTTGAAGGACTGAGGCATCCCAGTATTATAATGAAAGGATGTCAGTTCGTTTGCTACGCAGAATGCCTGAGTGAAAACTATGGTGTCATTGTGAATGATGTTTTTGTATGCCTTTTGTTTTCAACCAGGTAATCTAATTGTTGGATTTGTTCTCTTTTACTGTGTTTTATGGGCGGTTTCAGGAACCCAGTTGAATGCGGAAGAGACAGGATCGGATGATAGCCTGCATGGGCTGCATGTAAGTGGCCATTCATGTGCTGAAGCATGAGCTGTGTTTCTGAAGCACAGCCCGGGCAGCAGAGCACGTCTACAGGTTTATATTGTGTTGGAACGGGCACCACACTAAGGGTTCTCGAACTCCAGTAAGACTTCCAATTGCTGTACACGTTACTTGCTTGAAGAAGAGGGCCTTGACTACACTGAACCGCAGCCAGGGCTGCTTCGAGTTGTGATATATTGAGCCAAGGCATGACAGTGTGAGGTATAGGATTTTTGACAGCCATCAAAATCCATGAGTCATAGTCATCATAATCATTCTTTATCTTCTGTACATGGGGAGAAGTGGAAGAAAGTAGTAAGATGTCTGAAAAAAAAGGTAGAAAAAAGAAAAGGAAAGAATGAGAAAAAAAAGGTTGAAAAATTAGTGAAAGAGAAGGTGAAAAAAAAAATGAAGTGTATCATTAAGGTTTAGCCGGTGACAGCAGAATTACATTTTGGTAGCATCAGCCCCTACGCGACCATTTTTTTTTTTTTTAAATTTTGTTAATCTTGTACCTTAATTTACTTTTTTATTTTTTGTTAAATTCCTTATTTTGTTCAGATTGTACTGTAGAATTGAATACATGTAGCACAATTCATCAGAATCTCATCTCTGCTCTCGCAATGGCTGGTAGTTACAGAATATTATGATTAGGAATGGACAAAGCAGATGGTTTTGCAGATGTGTAGAATGATAATGGCCGCATGAATCTGTTGGGCACAAAACTTTTTGACTAAATAATACGGGCTGTTTTGATTCTTGCAAGTATCGGTTCTTAGTTAGATGCTGGTGCAATTTGGCAGATCAAAGCCACACTGCAGAGGCGGATTTGCTTAAAAGGGATAAATGACTGAACGGTATGCTACATTTTACCGGTTGTTGCTTCCGACGACACCTCCTGACTGACTTGGCATATGCCACCTCATCTGTAATGTCAGCTTATTGTCACATCACAATACCCAAAAATAAAAAGAATTATTGATCCACTGACGTCGCATAGGACATCTCAGCTTATTGTCCCATCACAACACCTAAAAAATAAAAGAATTCAATTAAATGTGATTTGCAAAATTGAAAGACACCCAAATTCAAATGCCTCCCAAAATTCATTTCCCAAATTTCCAAACCCTACAATTTGCCCCAAATAAGTCCAATTTTAAAATCCTAGCCACCACAGAAATCGTTTCAATTTCACCCACGCACGCACCACCACTACACTCCCATTTCGCCGATGTAGCCAAGCCGACCTTTCTCGCTATCGCCTCTCTGCATCATTTCGCAATTGAGTTCCTTGTGAGAGTATAGCTGGTTCGACTGTCACGGGGCACTTTGTGGATTAAAGAAGAGGGATGTTGTTGAGCTTAGTCAAGTCATGGGAAGAGTTTTCGATATCGATTGAATCCAGTTGCGTCACAGTACCAAAAAAGAATTCCCCTTTTCCTTTCAATTTGTAGAACCTTGGCCACCACAATCTCCAATTTCAGCGGCCACCACAGTCGCACAGGTCGCAGCCCTCCCCAAAGATAGAAAATCCATAGAAATTATCATGTAGTGATAACATAGAAGTTGTCTTGAAGAAAAGGTTCTTCTGCTGCACTATCCACACACAATCTGCAAGCCCAAAACTAAACCAACACCAAGAAAACAAACCCCAATATGAGCAAGGAAGTGGAGCTGGCTACGTAACCATCTTCTCTTCGGAGGGTCCGTGAATAGATGTTTTAGTAGTTGGATTACTTTTTTACAGGGTGGTCTTAACATGTGCATTGTTTGTGTTCAAGTCTCTTAATGTGTGTGCATAGTGCACATGTGCATTGATGAACTTTGGGCAGTTTAGACTTGGATAATTCAATCATGCTTCTTCAATGATTAAGTGGTTAGTTTCGAGCATGAGTTGTTTAAGGGTTTGAGACACATGTATATGACATTTATGGTTGACAGATCCACTCCCTTTGGAACTATTTGTGAATTTTTACTCTGATATGTAATTGTTCATTAGGTATTTTGTCGTGCTCTTTTTCACCATACAATAGTGCTTCCCTTTCTGGTTCTTTCTATCTTTTTTTTTTTTTTTGAGCAAACTGTCGCTACTCATTTAGTTGCTGAGAACTAGATTATATTGTCTTTGCTTTGCTTAGATAGAGGGTTTTTTTTTTTTTTACTTTTTTTTTTTTTATCTTGATTATTTTCTCATGGTGTACAGTCAATTCTTATCAATTGCTCTAGCTCTCTGGCGGAACAAAGGGATCTCATTCTTGGTGGTTTGGCAAGGGTACTGTAAGTGATTGTTTCATCAATGATGTTCCAAATATAATGGTTGGTTTTATATAATTAAACACTAATCGGCGTTTAGGTGAGTTAAAAAAGCAAAGAGTATCGCTCACTTCTCTTATATCTCACCTTTCTGTATTAATCTCTCTAATCCCAATTACACCTTCCATTAAAATTTAATTAATAATCAAATCAAATCAAATCATAACTCAAATAAAAAAACAAAAACAAATCTGTAGAACCATAGAGATAGAGATAGAGATAGAAAGAGAAAGAGAGAAAGGTCAAATCTAGTGGCGAAGGGTTGGGTTGGGTGTGGTATTATTTGTATTATATTTTTGTGGTGGTAGCATGTTGCCTCCTTGCTTTGCTTCTTCTTCGCTGCTAAACTTTCATTTCTTTTTTATTTAATTTTTAAACTAAATTTGTACAGAAACTCGATTACTCACTCCACCCACAAGCTCTAATCCCGATAAGATTTCTAACTTATAACTCTCTGTAATTATCATTTCTTTTTCTCTTATCCTATCTTGTATCTTACCGTTTCTTTCGATCTACTGTCGTCGCCGCCGGCTACTATGGATCCGTTTGATTTGGTTCGTAAAGGTATATGCGCAAACGAGTTTGCTTCATTTATCGTATACAGATCTTTGATTTTTGAGGTTTTTTTATTTATATATTTTTTTCGGTTATTTTTATTTATTTTTGCTTGAATTGATTTAGATCTTTGTGGATTATGTAAAGTTTGATTGTTTGAATTAATATTTTTTTTTCTGTGGTTATTTGTTGGGCCTGATTGTTAATTTTTTTTTGGGGTCAATTTTGGTTTTTGAAATTTTTTTAGGGTTTTATTTAATGGGCTTCGTATTTAGTAGTTTTATGAAAATTTATTTTGGTATCTGTCATAAATCGATAAATTGACTCTTTTTGGGGGAAAAATCTTATGCACATGTGAACTTTAGGGTTTTAAGCCTCATCGTCTGCAAGGTTTTCCTATGTAATATAATTGTTTAAGCTGTTATGTTAATTTCAGAGTTTTATTTATTGAAAACGTAATTTTGATTTTAACTTGTCATGTGTTCAGTCAAATTTTAACAATTGAAATTTGAAATTATTACCTTTACAGTTAAATTCAGTTGTTTATTAATCCTATGTTGTTTGATTCGGTTACCGATAACAGATATTAAAAGATGGAATGGTGTTTTTTTTTTTTTTTTTTTAAGTTATTTTCTAGCGATAGTTTCTATACAGAGATGTATTGCGGACTTGAGGTTTGTCAGTTTCAATAGTTATGTCACTGGGGATAAGGTTGTTGAGTTTGTTTGAGGAAAAGACTTGAGCTTGTGTGTGTGTGTCTGGAAATGAGGTACTCTATCTGTGATTAACTTTAATACTAAAAAATGAACTGTTTTGCAGGTTTTGGGTAAAGTCTCCTGTAATTTAAGGTGGTTTTGGGGCACTTTCTTTTTATGTATGTAGATTCCTTTTTGTTGCTATTTTAGTAAAGAATGAGCTTATCCAAGAAAGGGACTCAAATTAGTGATACGAAGTTAAACAGTCCAAACAAGGCAACTGTTTTAAATCCGAATGCTGCGGAGTTCATTCCCTTTTCGCTCAGATCACCATCATTTGGAAGTTCCAGTGCAGCAGATGCAACTGCAAGGCTTACTACTTCCGGGTCTGTAGGAAAAGCTATACTTGATCGATCAGAGTCATCTATTTCAAATAATTCTGATGAAGAGGCTCACCAGTATTGGCGTCGACAGCTCCCTGATGATATTACCCCGGACTTTAAGGTCATGAATGAAGATGACTCTCCAGGACTTGGGGGTCTTTCTTTGGCGGGCTTGTCTTTACATGACAGCATTGATGGGACAAGGTTTCCTGCTTCTACGGGAAGTGGGTATGTGCTGACTGAGCAACGGGAATTATCTCCACATCTTAATGGAAATAGCTTTGCGGAAAAGATGAGATTTTCTGGTTTAAGCTATGGGGAGGATCCTACCACAGCCAACTTTTTGCAATTGTCACCTAAGCCATGGGACAAGCAAATTTTTGGCGGTGATCAGCTTAGGGAGGGGCATCCTTACAATGGGAATCTTAGGCATGGGTTCTTGAATGACATATCAGAAGAGCATGGAATGATAGATGATACTGAGATGAATCCGGTGGAGTTTTTGGCATCACAATTTCCTGGATTTGCTGCTGAAAGCCTTGCTGAAGTTTATTTTGCCAATGGGTGTGACCTGAACCTGACAATTGAGATGCTCACGCAGCTTGAGGTATTGTCAGTTTCTATTTAATCTACCATTGGACAAGTTTGAGGTGCTCCCGTTTGTGCAGATGTGTGAAGACGTAATGAAGTACCATCTGTTGGTTCACAATCTCGTTTGATTGATCACTGTTTTATTTTTTTGTTATGCGGTTGTTTTCCAGATTATTTATTGTAAAAGAGTTGCAAAAATGTGATGTTGATGTTACATATTGTGATTCCTGAGAACCAGGTCAGAAATATTTCTTCGGAGCAAATGCTCTCAATCTTTTGCTGGATGAAAAGATAATCCACTCCTGATACTTGCTGAAGGAATAGTTTGGTGTTAAGTATTTAGAGCAATCTGTTGTGTGCCATTTCTGGCATGGCTCATAGAATTTTTGGGTTAAATAATGCTAAAATACTCTTATATATAGATACCTAGATATTCTGGCCTTGTAAAGTGGGGCCTGCATTAAATGGAGTCATTTTTTCCTTCTATTGTATCATATAGCTGCTTGTGATCTTNTTTTTTTTTTAAGTTATTTTCTAGCGATAGTTTCTATACAGAGATGTATTGCGGACTTGAGGTTTGTCAGTTTCAATAGTTATGTCACTGGGGATAAGGTTGTTGAGTTTGTTTGAGGAAAAGACTTGAGCTTGTGTGTGTGTGTCTGGAAATGAGGTACTCTATCTGTGATTAACTTTAATACTAAAAAATGAACTGTTTTGCAGGTTTTGGGTAAAGTCTCCTGTAATTTAAGGTGGTTTTGGGGCACTTTCTTTTTATGTATGTAGATTCCTTTTTGTTGCTATTTTAGTAAAGAATGAGCTTATCCAAGAAAGGGACTCAAATTAGTGATACGAAGTTAAACAGTCCAAACAAGGCAACTGTTTTAAATCCGAATGCTGCGGAGTTCATTCCCTTTTCGCTCAGATCACCATCATTTGGAAGTTCCAGTGCAGCAGATGCAACTGCAAGGCTTACTACTTCCGGGTCTGTAGGAAAAGCTATACTTGATCGATCAGAGTCATCTATTTCAAATAATTCTGATGAAGAGGCTCACCAGTATTGGCGTCGACAGCTCCCTGATGATATTACCCCGGACTTTAAGGTCATGAATGAAGATGACTCTCCAGGACTTGGGGGTCTTTCTTTGGCGGGCTTGTCTTTACATGACAGCATTGATGGGACAAGGTTTCCTGCTTCTACGGGAAGTGGGTATGTGCTGACTGAGCAACGGGAATTATCTCCACATCTTAATGGAAATAGCTTTGCGGAAAAGATGAGATTTTCTGGTTTAAGCTATGGGGAGGATCCTACCACAGCCAACTTTTTGCAATTGTCACCTAAGCCATGGGACAAGCAAATTTTTGGCGGTGATCAGCTTAGGGAGGGGCATCCTTACAATGGGAATCTTAGGCATGGGTTCTTGAATGACATATCAGAAGAGCATGGAATGATAGATGATACTGAGATGAATCCGGTGGAGTTTTTGGCATCACAATTTCCTGGATTTGCTGCTGAAAGCCTTGCTGAAGTTTATTTTGCCAATGGGTGTGACCTGAACCTGACAATTGAGATGCTCACGCAGCTTGAGGTATTGTCAGTTTCTATTTAATCTACCATTGGACAAGTTTGAGGTGCTCCCGTTTGTGCAGATGTGTGAAGACGTAATGAAGTACCATCTGTTGGTTCACAATCTCGTTTGATTGATCACTGTTTTATTTTTTTGTTATGCGGTTGTTTTCCAGATTATTTATTGTAAAAGAGTTGCAAAAATGTGATGTTGATGTTACATATTGTGATTCCTGAGAACCAGGTCAGAAATATTTCTTCGGAGCAAATGCTCTCAATCTTTTGCTGGATGAAAAGATAATCCACTCCTGATACTTGCTGAAGGAATAGTTTGGTGTTAAGTATTTAGAGCAATCTGTTGTGTGCCTTTTCTGGCATGGCTTATAGAATTTTTGGGTTAAATAATGCTAAAATACTCTTATATATAGATACCGTAGATATTCTGGCCTTGTAAAGTGGGGCCTGCATTAAATGGAGTCATTTTTTCCTTCTATTGTATCATATAGCTGCTTGTGATTTTTTTTTTTTTTTGGTTCTTAACATTTGTTTTGTGTTCTGATGGGCAGAGCAACTTGTTTTATTTGTTGAGTTATGTCATATGTTTTTAAAGCAACAAAATATATAGTTCGATACATGATTAGCTATGTCTGCACTTCTGGATATCCTTTCTATTTAGGGCAATTTTCATTGTTTTTTTCCTTTCCAATTGTAGCTTCAAGTCGATAGTGGTTTCAATCAGAACTTAAACTCGAAGACCTTGTCAGCTCCCAATCTTAGTGCAATGGACTTTCCTGCACTTACGGTGCCAGAGGGTCAGAGTGGTCCTCCAAAATATTCCGGAGATGATTTTCAGCAAAGTGGAAATCCTTATCGTTCTTCTGACAAGGAGAATTTGCTTATGTTTAAGACCAGCTCTTCTATTCCATCAAGAGGTGCAGGTGATTTTGCTTCAGCCGTCAGAAAATTGGCTTCTCAGGATTCTGGTGTATGGAAGTATGATAGAAATGGTTCTGCTGATACCACTATCGGGTCAAGTAGAAGTTCTAATGTTTTGGCTAGTGCTTACAATGGAAGTCATGGGAGAGGAGTTTATGGTGATAGGTTACAGAATCGTGGTTCAGCTCGGACAGCTCCTGTTTGGCTTGAAACTGGAGAAGCCGTGGGTAATATTCCTCAGTCCAATGTTAATTGCATTAAACACGTTTTTAATTCTGGGATAAATGCTTTCTGCATGTATATTTTCTTTAACGTTGTTAAGATGGCAGCAAATATGTATTCTGAGCTGCGGGAAGAAGCTCGTGATCATGCACGCCTACGTAATGCATATTTTGATCAGGTTTGTCCTGTGTGTTGCACTGCCTTGCAGTTTGAAATCCTCTTACTTTTGTCTCTCCTTTAGTCATTTCAGTAATATGGAAACTACAATTGCGAATATACAAGGTGCATTGGTAAAATCCAGGAGGAGATGATGTAAAGTATCTAATTAAAGTGATCAATGATGAGACTAATCAGTAAATCGTCAGTATGATATCAAATTGTTAGTAGCTTTGCAGAATAATGATTTGTTGGGAACCAGATTTTGTTGGTTTGCTACAATTGGTGTCAAAAAGTTCCCAATAAAAGGAAAATCTTGTTTTTTCTCTAGTCACTCTGCTCTCTCCCCTTTCTTTCCCCTTCTATTTATTCTTGTATCAATTATTTTTCAGGGACCCTTTTTTTATGTGGATGTCAGTAATTTCTGACTTTCTTAGGATCGTTTTATGTGTCATCTGTCTTCTGCTTTCTGGCTGTGAGGTTGCTGTGCAGTTGCCTGGGAGTTGATTATAGGAACCGTTTTTAACTTCTAGTGATAATGTTCATGCTTCTGCCATGACTAGTCAAAATGCTTATCAGTGGTGTGAAGTAAATATATTAATAGTGGATAGCTATTCTCATTGAAACAAATTGAAGGAAGGGCTAATACTTGTTTCAGTTTATATAGTTAAAAATGTTTTGACATAGAAACCTGGAATTGTTTATCTGTATCACTTCTTTTTTGAAGGAATGCTCAGCTGGACTTTATGAGAAGAAAAGAGTGATCTGTAAATGCCAAAGATATAATTATGAAATGACAATTTCCTCAATACACCCTCTTTTAGCATTACTGCTAAAGCTTATTGATTTCTTAGGGGACCAACAAGCTGTGGGCCTGTCATCACAGTGAAGGTTAAATAACAAGTTATAGAATGAACTGCTGTGGTCTGTGTCATCCTGGTTGTGGTAACTTTTTTCTACTGCACCATGTTATAGCAAGTAATGGTTTTAAATTTTACAGGCACGTCAAGCCTATCTTATAGGAAATAAGGCTTTAGCGAAGGAATTGAGTGTGAAAGGGCAGCTGCATAATATGCAAATGAAGGCAGCTCATGGAAGAGCTCAAGAGTCTATTTACCGCCAGAGGTATGAAACTTCTTTGCTGTTTTTACCTAATCTTGATCCTGACAAGCTAACATGTATGACTGGTGATTGGTTTTTCCCTGTTCTCATGATTTCTCTTCTAGTATACCCTTGTCTTTGAAGGGAATGAAAAGATGTTTATTTGCTGGATTAACAGCTCTTCCATTCTTCCCTTCACTCTTCTTTCAGCATCTCTTCATTTTTTTTAGGGGTTTTAAAACCTTAGTACGATTCTGAAACATTTTTAATGTAATTAATTTCCTACTCGCTGCACCTACTTTACCCAAAACATGCTCTCCCCTCTCTTTTCATCTTTGTGGTAACAAGTTGAACTGCTTATGGTCACATTGGAATATTTTCTGCTCCAAATATATTTGTTCTATTCAAAGCGTTGTGAGATGACACTTGTCATTCACTTACTAGCTTCTTCTTGTATTTTGTTTTGAATGATATATAACAAATAACATTGCTTCTATGCCAATGCTCGCATAAGCATATGCTCGTGACATTGCTTTTATGCCTTTGCCTACATGGGCCTGCTTTGCAACATATCTTTCGCCCTGGTGCCTCTTCTCTGCTTGTAAAGGGCAAAAGTTGAAGGACTGAGGCATCCCAGTATTATAATGAAAGGATGTCAGTTCGTTTGCTACACAGAATGCCTGAGTGAAAACTATGGTGTCAATTGTGAATTATGTTTTTGTATGCCTTTGGTTTTCAACCAGGTAATCTAATTGTTGGATTTGTTCTCTTTCACTGTGTTTTATGGGCGGTTTTCAGGAACCCAGTTGAGATGCAGGGAAGAGGACAGGATCGGATGATAGACCTGCATGGGCTGCATGTAAGTGAAGCCATTCATGTGCTGAAGCATGAGCTGAGTGTTCTGAGAAGCACAGCCCGGGCAGCAGAGCAACGTCTACAGGTTTATATATGTGTTGGAACAGGGCACCACACTAAGGGTTCTCGAACTCCAGTAAGACTTCCAATTGCTGTACAGCGTTACTTGCTTGAAGAAGAGGGCCTTGACTACACTGAACCGCAGCCAGGGCTGCTTCGAGTTGTGATATATTGAGCCAAGGACATGACAGTGTGAGGTATAGGAGTTTTTGACAGCCATCAAAATCCATGAAGTCATAGTCATCATAATCATTCTTGTATCTTCTGTACATGGGGAGAAGTGGAAGAAAGTAGTAAGATGTCTGAAAAAAAAGGTAGAAAGAAAAGAAAAGGAAAAGAATGAAGAAAAAAAGGTTGAAAAATTAGTGAAAGAGAAAGGTGAAAAAAAAAAATGAAGTGTATCATTAAGGTTTAGCCGGTTGACAGCAGAATTACATTTTGGTAGCATCAGGCCCCTACGCGACCATTTTTTTTTTTTTTTAAATTTTGTTAATCTTGTACCTTAATTTTACTTTTTTATTTTTTGTTAAATTACTTATTTTGTTCAGATGTAACTGATAGAATTGAATTACATGATAGCACAATTCATCAAGAATCTCATCTCTGCTCTCGCAATGGCTGGTAGTTACAGAAATATTATGATTAGGAATGGACAAAGCAGGATGGTTTTGCAGATGTGTAGAATGATAAATGGCCGCATGAATCTGTTGGGCACAAAACTTTTTGACTAAATAATACGGGCTGTGTTTGATTCTTGCAAGTATCGGTGTCTTAGTTAGATGCGTGGTGCAATTTGGCAGATCAAAGCCACACTGTCAGAGGCGGATTTGCTTAAAAAGGGATAAATTGACTGAACGGTAATGCTACATTTTACCGGTTGTTGCTCCGACGGACACCTCCTGACTGACGTGGCATATGCCACCTCATCTGTAATGTCAGCTTATTGTCACATCACAATACCCAAAAAATAAAAAGAATTATTGATCCAACTGACGTCGCATATGACATCTCAGCTTATTGTCACATCACAACACCTAAAAAATAAAAAGAATTCAATTAAATGTGATTTGCAAAATTGAAAGACACCCAAATTCAAAATTGCCTCCCAAAATTCATTTCCCCAAATTTCCAAACCCTACAATTTGCCCCAAATAAAGTCCAATTTTAAAATCCTAGCCACCACAGAAATCGGTTTCAATTTCACTCCACGCACGCACCACCACTACACTCCCATTTCGCCGATGTAGCCAAGCCGACCTTTCTCGCTATCGCCTCTCTGCATCATTTCGCAATTGAGTTCCTTGTGAAGAGTATAGCTGGTTCGACTGTCACGGGGGCACTTTGTGGATTAAAGAAGAGGGATGTTGTTGAGCTTAGTCAAGTCATGGGAAGAGTTTTCGATATCGATTGAATCCAGTTGCGTCACAGTACCAAAAAAAGAATTCCCCAATTTCCTTTCAATTTGTAGAACCTTGGCCACCACAATCTCCAATTTCAGCGGCCACCACAGTCGCAGCAGGTCGCAGCCCTCCCCAAAGAATAGAAAATCCATAGAAATTAGTCATGTAGTGTATAAACATAGAAAGTTGTCTTGAAGAAAAAGGTTCTTCTGCTGCACTATACACACAAATCTGCAAGCCCAAAACTAAACCGAACACCAAGAAAACAAACCCCAATATGAGCAGAGGAAGTGGAGCTGGCTACGTAACCATCTTCTCTTCGGAGGGTCGCGTGAATAGATGTTTTAGTAGTTGGATTACTTTTTTACAGGGTGGTCTTAACATGTGCATTGTTTGTGTTCAAGTCTCTTAATGTGTGTGCATAGTAGCACATGTGCATTGATGAACTTTGGGCAGTGTAGAGCTTGGATAATTCAATCATGCTTCTTAGATGATTAAGTGGTTAGTTTCGAGCATGAGATTGTTTAAGGGTTTGAGACAACATGTATATGACATTTATGGTTGACAGATCCACTCCCTTTGGAACTATTTGTGAATTTTTATTCTGATATGTAATTGTTCATTAGGTAATTTTGTCGTGCTCTTTCTTTCACCATACAATAGTGCTTCCCTTTCTGGTTCTTTCTATCTTTTTTTTTTTTTTTGAGCAAACTGTCGCTACTCATTTAGTTGCTGAGAACTAGATTATATTGTCTTTGCTTGTGCTTAGATAGAGGGTTTTTTTTTTTTTTTTCACTTTTTTTTTTTATCTTGATTATTTTTCTCATGGTGTACAGTCAATTCTTATCATCATTGCTCTAGCTCTTGGCGGAACAAAGGGATCTCATTCTTGGGTGGTTTGGCAAGGTTACTGTAAGTGATTGTAAATTCGTCAATGATGTTCCAAATATAAATGGTTGGTTATATTTTTTTAGTTGGAAGTTCTCATGTTCTAACGTGTAAAGGTAGTTGATGAAATTATTCAGTGTTCATATTTATGCACATAGTTGGTTTTGTTCAGCACTGCAGACCATCCTTGCTGGTACACTACAAACCCCAATATATGTTTTTCGATGAGAAATGAATCAATGAGTGGATCATTTGTTACATCATACCCTGAACTAAATTTGTTTCTTGTTTAGACCATGTTGGCTGCTATCAAAATGGAAGTCATGATCCCAACCTTGGAGGCATCAGATGAGGGCTGCGAAGGTTGAGTGTCATGAACTGAAAATTTTCATTTCTCCTTTGTATTTATATGTCTTTATTCATGTTTTATTAAAGGATGCCATCATAAACATTTTTTTCATTTTCAGCTATTGATTTCCACATGCCTCCAATTTGTTCCCCAATCGTTATTGCTGCTAATATTCTCCTCTAAAGACATCTTTCCAGTTGGATATTTTTCTTTATATTTGGGTTATCGTTGATTTTTTTCTTTTTAAATAATGAGCAGGACAAGTGTTATGCCTAAAAAGTCACACTGATGTCAGCTTAATAAATGTCTTTTTGTACTAGCTACCAAGCCCATATCTCCTCAAAGTTATTCATACCAACTCTATCTCATTTCAAGAGATAAATGGACGAGAGCCTTCCATGTATCAAGACAACTTGCAAAACATTCATTACATTGACCTCAAAGGTGTATAAATTGACACTTCTCTTCCCGAAAGAGAGGGTTGTGCATATGAGAGCTAGGCATAGATTTGAGCTTAATTATTTCTCTCTGTAAACACTGTATTTTTTCATCTTTGTATGTCTTATGGGCAAAATCATAGAAATAGTCAGAGATCAGTAAAATAACAGTAGATATAGGATTTGCTTTAAGCATCTGAACTACTATAAAAACCTCTCTTGTCAGTCTATTATTTATGTTTTCTGCAACATATATAATCTCAGCTCAATATTCAAATCTCATGGATTCATCACGTATAATTTCTAAGGCTCTCTTAGCACTTTGCACGTGCAAGTCGTTGGCGTCCAAAATCAAGCGTTAACAACAAGCTTTTGGATTAGACATTTGTCACCCATCTCTTCCCTATCACCAAGTACCTTGATCGAGTTGATTTTATGGCAAGTCAGAGTTGTGGGATCAGATGATCGAGTTTACCGAGCGACGAGCGTTGTCAACTGAAGAAATTGATGAACACTTGACTACCATTAGTGAGAGTGACTAATTAAAATGTGATAGATGTTGCTCAAAGAAAATTTCTATAGCATTTGACTTTGTCGGCTTGTGTTGTAGTTGTTCTTGGAGATTGGAGAGAGACCTAGAGATCAGTTAGTGGTTGAAGTTGTGTTGTTTCAGACTAATGTTATCTCATATTACAATATTGAACTTTGAAATTATTTAGTCATGCTAAGATGAGGTTGAATGCAACTTACTCTCGACCTTCATATTGAGCAGATTGAACAAGTGTGATTAAGCAGGTGTGCTGGAATTGAGCAGGTGTGCAGATTGAGAAAACTCGAAAGGCCATAGTGGAAATAGAGAAAACTTGTTTTGGCATTGTGCAGATTAAGCAGGTGTGCAGATTGCAGTTTGTTTTCTACAGTTTCCAAGAGTCTTGGGCAGTATGTGCAGGGTGGTGTGTGCTGGAATTGAAATAGTGTTCTGCATGGTGGTGTGTATGGAGCTGCAGCGTGATTGCTTCATTTTCTAGGTGAAGTCTTCAGTTTGGTTGTCTTTTGTTTGTGTTACTTTTCTATTGCTCTTGTTTCTTTTTGTGTAGTTCGGCCCCTTGGGCATGTCAAGGTTCTCGGTTTTAAAAGGGAGTCCCCATTTCAGCTTGTAATTCGTTTATTTTTTAATAAAAATGATTAGATTTACCAAAAAAATAAAAAAAAAAACACTGCATTTTTAATATTTGCAATTAACTAAAAGCAGATTACACGTGATTTCTACCATCACAGTTTCAAGAGGAAAAGTTGTCTTCTCTCTGGCACCACCAATTGACGATTCTAGTGTCGTTTATGATGTCAAAAATCGTCCCTGCCACCACCAATCGACTCTTTGAATCTTCCTTTCCAAAAGTCCCAACATTCCCGATTCTGTTCGCTCATCAATCACCGGTGTTTGAAGCTTTCCCACCTTAGGGTTTTTTGAGTTTTAATTGGATTAATTGGGTTTGATTCGTACCAATTTTGTGTTTGTTGGGTTGAAATACAATTAAGGAATGTTTGTTTGTTGATTTTTTGGTTGCCGACACTCCCCCAACACCAGCGGCAATTGTCGACAATGGAAAAAGTTGAGAAGAGAAGAAAGAAGAGAGGGGTTTTTTTAGTAAATCACTTTGTTTCCCACCCAAATAAGAGGATAACCTAATATTTGGATAGTAAAATGGTGTTTTAAAAGTTTGAGAGTGGAAAAATGTCAATGGGCTATTTTTTGGATGATAACATGTCGTTAACCCTGATATGATAATTCTGATAAGATGATACATCCCTTAAAATATTAATTTTGGGTATTTTAAAATAACGTTAATATTATTCAAAATTAAACCTGCGAATATACATTTTGGGATATATTTTGAGACATATGTCATTACTCTAAATCTAAGCATCAGGAACCATTGAGTTTGGGAATAATGCTACTCTCTCTCGTTTATGGAAGATTTAGGATGCATTTAACCTAAGGGGTTGGTGTTTTAATTTGATAATCGTTTTCTTGCGATATGAAAATGAAAAAACACCATGAATGGCAGTTATGTAAATCCAGTTCTACCAAATGGTCCTCTTTTAAGCAAGTACCAGAATTTTAAAAATTTTGGAGGGAAAAACCCAAGAAATGTACCTGCGAATGCTGCGATTTCAACCCATTCTCAAACCCAAACCCACGCCCATTTTCTTCTCCTCTCCAAGAACTTCGAACCACAATCCCTTTCCTCATCTTTTCTCTCTTCAAAAACACCATCTTTCATCTTCCTCCTCTTCCTCTCAATGGTTCTCTCTTCTCCGCCAAGCAATCTCCACCGCCGACTTGGCTCTTGGCAAGTCTATTCACGCGCGCATATTGAATTCTTTCCAGGACCCAGATCGTTTTTTAACCAACAATCTCATTACAATGTACGCCAAATGCGGTTCACTTTTATATGCGCGCCGCATGTTTGATATTATGCCCGCCCGAGACCTCGTCAGCTGGAATTCACTTCTGGCTGCATATGCTCAGTCCGGAGACCATGACATTGAGAACTTGAAAGAGGGTTTTCGTCTTTTTCGTGCTTTACGTGAGTCTATTGTGCTGACTAGTCGGTTGACTCTGGCTCCTGTGTTGAAATTAAGTTTGATTTCCGGTTATGTTTGGGCTTCTGAGGCGGTTCATGGGTATGCAGTGAAGATTGGCTTGGAATGGGATGTGTTTATTTCGGGGGCTCTTGTGAATATTTACTCGAAGTTTGGTAGAATTAGGGAGGCCAGGCTTTTGTTTGAGGGCATGCCAGAAAGAGATGTTGTTTTATGGAATGTAATGTTGAAAGCCTATGTAGAAATGGGTTTTGAAGAAGAAGTTTTTTGTCTCTTCTCAGATTTTCTTAAGAGTGGGCTGCGTCCCGATGATGTGAGTGTTAAGTCTGTGCTGAGTGGGATTTCTGATATTAGTTCTGATACAGGCAGGAGATACAAGGAGCAGGTTCAAGCTTATGCAGTAAAGTTGTTTCTGTATGATGATGATTCAAATGTGGTTTTGTGGAATAAGACATTGTCCGAACATCTTCAAGTTGGTAATAATTGTGGTGCTGTTGAGTGCTTTGTGAATATGATTAGATCAAATGTAGAGTATGATAGTGTTACATTTGTAGTTGCTTTAGCAGCAGTTACAGGCAGTAATAATTTTGATTTGGCGCAACAAATCCATAGTATGGTTTTGAAATCAGGTTTTAGTTCATCAGTTTCAGTTGGAAATAGTCTTGTCAACATGTATTCAAAAATGGGCTACCTCTGGTTTTCTCAAAAAGTGTTCTCTGATATGAATGAATTGGATTTAATTTCGTGGAACTCAATGATATCAAGCTATGCTCAGAGAGGCTTGGAAAAGGAATCAATTAATCTCTTTAAAGATCTATTGCATAATGGCTTGATACCAGATCATTTCACTTTGGCAAGTGTTCTGAGGGCATGTTCCTCACTGACAGAAGGCTTTTATCTCAGTGAACAAATTCATGTCCATGTGATAAAAACTGGTAATGTCACTGACACTTTTGTGTCAACTGCTCTTATTGACGTTTATTCAAGGAGTGGAAAAATGATGGAGGCAGAAGAAGTATTTGAAAGAAAAGATGAATTTGATTTGGCAACTTGGAATGCAATGATGTTTGGGTATATATTGAGTAATGATAGTCACAAAGCACTGAAACTCTTTTCTCTGATGCATGGAAGTGGGGAGAGATCAGATCAGATAACATTAGCAACTGCAGTGAAAGCTTGTGGCTGCTTGTTGGGGTTAAGACAAGGGAAGCAAATTCATGCTTATGTGACAAAGTCTGGGTTTGACTCAGATTTATGTGTTAGCAGTGGTATTCTAGATATGTCTGTCAAATGTGGAGACATGGTTGATGCCCACTTAGTGTTCAATGATATCCCTGCACCCGATGATGTCGCCTGGACAACTATGATATTTGGTTGTGTTGAAAATGGAGACGAAGAGCGTGCTCTTTCTATATACCATCAGATGAGGCTGTCTGGGGTCCTACCCGATGAATATACATTTGCTACCCTTGTCAAAGCCAGCTCTTGTCTGACAGCAATAGAACAAGGGAGACAAATTCATGCAAATGTGATCAAGTTGGATTGTGCTTTCGATATTTTTGTTGGTGCAACTTACTCTCGACCTTCATATTGAGCAGATTGAACAAGTGTGATTAAGCAGGTGTGCTGGAATTGAGCAGGTGTGCAGATTGAGAAAACTCGAAAGGCCATAGTGGAAATAGAGAAAACTTGTTTTGGCATTGTGCAGATTAAGCAGGTGTGCAGATTGCAGTTTGTTTTCTACAGTTTCCAAGAGTCTTGGGCAGTATGTGCAGGGTGGTGTGTGCTGGAATTGAAATAGTGTTCTGCATGGTGGTGTGTATGGAGCTGCAGCGTGATTGCTTCATTTTCTAGGTGAAGTCTTCAGTTTGGTTGTCTTTTGTTTGTGTTACTTTTCTATTGCTCTTGTTTCTTTTTGTGTAGTTCGGCCCCTTGGGCATGTCAAGGTTCTCGGTTTTAAAAGGGAGTCCCCATTTCAGCTTGTAATTCGTTTATTTTTTAATAAAAATGATTAGATTTACCAAAAAAATAAAAAAAAAAACACTGCATTTTTAATATTTGCAATTAACTAAAAGCAGATTACACGTGATTTCTACCATCACAGTTTCAAGAGGAAAAGTTGTCTTCTCTCTGGCACCACCAATTGACGATTCTAGTGTCGTTTATGATGTCAAAAATCGTCCCTGCCACCACCAATCGACTCTTTGAATCTTCCTTTCCAAAAGTCCCAACATTCCCGATTCTGTTCGCTCATCAATCACCGGTGTTTGAAGCTTTCCCACCTTAGGGTTTTTTGAGTTTTAATTGGATTAATTGGGTTTGATTCGTACCAATTTTGTGTTTGTTGGGTTGAAATACAATTAAGGAATGTTTGTTTGTTGATTTTTTGGTTGCCGACACTCCCCCAACACCAGCGGCAATTGTCGACAATGGAAAAAGTTGAGAAGAGAAGAAAGAAGAGAGGGGTTTTTTTAGTAAATCACTTTGTTTCCCACCCAAATAAGAGGATAACCTAATATTTGGATAGTAAAATGGTGTTTTAAAAGTTTGAGAGTGGAAAAATGTCAATGGGCTATTTTTTGGATGATAACATGTCGTTAACCCTGATATGATAATTCTGATAAGATGATACATCCCTTAAAATATTAATTTTGGGTATTTTAAAATAACGTTAATATTATTCAAAATTAAACCTGCGAATATACATTTTGGGATATATTTTGAGACATATGTCATTACTCTAAATCTAAGCATCAGGAACCATTGAATTTGGGAATAATGCTACTCTCTCTCGTTTATGGAAGATTTAGGATGCATTTAACCTAAGGGGTTGGTGTTTTAATTTGATAATCGTTTTCTTGCGATATGAAAATGAAAAAACACCATGAATGGCAGTTATGTAAATCCAGTTCTACCAAATGGTCCTCTTTTAAGCAAGTACCAGAATTTTAAAAATTTTGGAGGGAAAAACCCAAGAAATGTACCTGCGAATGCTGCGATTTCAACCCATTCTCAAACCCAAACCCACGCCCATTTTCTTCTCCTCTCCAAGAACTTCGAACCACAATCCCTTTCCTCATCTTTTCTCTCTTCAAAAACACCATCTTTCATCTTCCTCCTCTTCCTCTCAATGGTTCTCTCTTCTCCGCCAAGCAATCTCCACCGCCGACTTGGCTCTTGGCAAGTCTATTCACGCGCGCATATTGAATTCTTTCCAGGACCCAGATCGTTTTTTAACCAACAATCTCATTACAATGTACGCCAAATGCGGTTCACTTTTATATGCGCGCCGCATGTTTGATATTATGCCCGCCCGAGACCTCGTCAGCTGGAATTCACTTCTGGCTGCATATGCTCAGTCCGGAGACCATGACATTGAGAACTTGAAAGAGGGTTTTCGTCTTTTTCGTGCTTTACGTGAGTCTATTGTGCTGACTAGTCGGTTGACTCTGGCTCCTGTGTTGAAATTAAGTTTGATTTCCGGTTATGTTTGGGCTTCTGAGGCGGTTCATGGGTATGCAGTGAAGATTGGCTTGGAATGGGATGTGTTTATTTCGGGGGCTCTTGTGAATATTTACTCGAAGTTTGGTAGAATTAGGGAGGCCAGGCTTTTGTTTGAGGGCATGCCAGAAAGAGATGTTGTTTTATGGAATGTAATGTTGAAAGCCTATGTAGAAATGGGTTTTGAAGAAGAAGTTTTTTGTCTCTTCTCAGATTTTCTTAAGAGTGGGCTGCGTCCCGATGATGTGAGTGTTAAGTCTGTGCTGAGTGGGATTTCTGATATTAGTTCTGATACAGGCAGGAGATACAAGGAGCAGGTTCAAGCTTATGCAGTAAAGTTGTTTCTGTATGATGATGATTCAAATGTGGTTTTGTGGAATAAGACATTGTCCGAACATCTTCAAGTTGGTAATAATTGTGGTGCTGTTGAGTGCTTTGTGAATATGATTAGATCAAATGTAGAGTATGATAGTGTTACATTTGTAGTTGCTTTAGCAGCAGTTACAGGCAGTAATAATTTTGATTTGGCGCAACAAATCCATAGTATGGTTTTGAAATCAGGTTTTAGTTCATCAGTTTCAGTTGGAAATAGTCTTGTCAACATGTATTCAAAAATGGGCTACCTCTGGTTTTCTCAAAAAGTGTTCTCTGATATGAATGAATTGGATTTAATTTCGTGGAACTCAATGATATCAAGCTATGCTCAGAGAGGCTTGGAAAAGGAATCAATTAATCTCTTTAAAGATCTATTGCATAATGGCTTGATACCAGATCATTTCACTTTGGCAAGTGTTCTGAGGGCATGTTCCTCACTGACAGAAGGCTTTTATCTCAGTGAACAAATTCATGTCCATGTGATAAAAACTGGTAATGTCACTGACACTTTTGTGTCAACTGCTCTTATTGACGTTTATTCAAGGAGTGGAAAAATGATGGAGGCAGAAGAAGTATTTGAAAGAAAAGATGAATTTGATTTGGCAACTTGGAATGCAATGATGTTTGGGTATATATTGAGTAATGATAGTCACAAAGCACTGAAACTCTTTTCTCTGATGCATGGAAGTGGGGAGAGATCAGATCAGATAACATTAGCAACTGCAGTGAAAGCTTGTGGCTGCTTGTTGGGGTTAAGACAAGGGAAGCAAATTCATGCTTATGTGACAAAGTCTGGGTTTGACTCAGATTTATGTGTTAGCAGTGGTATTCTAGATATGTCTGTCAAATGTGGAGACATGGTTGATGCCCACTTAGTGTTCAATGATATCCCTGCACCCGATGATGTCGCCTGGACAACTATGATATTTGGTTGTGTTGAAAATGGAGACGAAGAGCGTGCTCTTTCTATATACCATCAGATGAGGCTGTCTGGGGTCCTACCCGATGAATATACATTTGCTACCCTTGTCAAAGCCAGCTCTTGTCTGACAGCAATAGAACAAGGGAGACAAATTCATGCAAATGTGATCAAGTTGGATTGTGCTTTCGATATTTTTGTTGGGACTTCTCTTGTTGACATGTATGCCAAGTGTGGGAACATAGAAGACGCATATCAATCGTTTAAACAAATGAATGTGAGGAACATTGTCTTGTGGAATGCCATGTTGGTGGGTTTAGCTCAACACGGAAATGGTGAAGAAGCCCTTAAACTTTTTGAAGTCATGAAAGCTAATGTTGTTGAGCCTGATGGAGTTACCTTTATTGGTGTACTTTCTGCTTGTAGTCATTCTGGTTTAGTTTCTGAGGCTTATGAATATTTCCATTCAATGCATGACAAATATGGTATTGAGCCTGAGATTGAGCATTACTCTTGTCTGGTTGATGCCCTGGGGCGTGCAGGACGCACTCAAGAGGCAGAGGAGCTTATTGTGTCAATGCCATTTGAAGCTTCTGCATCTATGTACAGAGCCTTGCTCGGTGCTTGCAGGGTTAAGGGAGACACAGGAACTGGGAAACGGGTGGCAGAGCAGCTATTGGCCTTGGAACCAACTGATTCAGCAGCTTATGTTCTGCTGTCCAATATCTATGCTGCTGCCAACCAATGGAATGATGTTACTGCTGCTCGAAAAACTATGAAGAGGAAGAATGTTAAAAAGGATCCAGGTTTTAGTTGGATAGATGTCAAGAATAAGATTCATTTGTTTGTAGTGGATGATAGGTCCCATCCACAAGGTGATTTGATATATGATGAGGTGGAGGTTCTGATGAAAAGGATTAAAGAAGAAGGATATATCCCTGATACGGACTTTGTGCTTCTTGACGTGGAAGAAGAAGAAAAAGAGCGTGCTCTCTATTACCACAGCGAGAAATTAGCAATAGCTTTTGGACTCATAAGCACTCCTCCATCAACCACCATTCGAGTAATAAAGAATCTTCGTGTTTGTGGAGATTGCCATAACGCAATAAAATACATATCTAAAGTGTCAGAACGAGAAATTGTATTGAGAGATGCAAATCGCTTCCACCATTTCAGGGAAGGAATCTGCTCTTGTGGTGATTACTGGTAATGTCAGAATTGAATTTCTCGTGGCAGGTTTATATATATATATATATATATAACTTAAATCTTCAATATGATAACCATAGATACTAAAAGTTTTGATAAGTTGTTTCTAGGTTAGGCATTTATAGATGCAAGAAATGTAGTTTTAGAATGGTGAGAATTGGGTAAGTCGAATATTCAGGGAGGACCACCCTTGTTTAGTTGAGTTTAAAATCAGAATCTCTCCTACTTTTTTTGGCAATTTATTTACATGATTGATAATTTTGTCGACAAACTCATGACATTCTTCGTTATTCCATTTATTTTATTTTCTTGTGCTTGGTTTTCATCTTCAAGAACATGAATCTCGTTGGATCACGGCAAGAGCACATACCACTCAGTGGAGTTGTAATTCTATGAATAAAGATAGGTTAACAAACGCATCTCACAAACTCCACGTGGCACCTGAGTTGGCAGCCCCACCAGAACTGTCGCGGAATGTTCATAAGAAACAACCGTCATGAATGAGGAATGGTCGTTCCTTGGACGAGGAATGGCCATTCCATAGGATAGAAGGGTCATTCCGTTCGAAAGAATGGCCATTCCACTTGGAG